CGACCCTATCTAAATCCCAGTAATGATTAACGCGTTCCTGATTTTGTTATAATAACTAGTTACCGTGCTCGTTACCACAATAATAATGTAGTTACTGTAACACGTTACTTAATAACGCGTTAGTCCCAACACTGCATATAAGCTACTTTTTTCTATTGCTCAAAACTTGTCTGAACACAGACTGCACTTTCTTGGTCCACTGTGATGTATGTGGCTGAAGAAAACATACTGCTGTTATTTTTAGCTTGTACAGTCCCGATCAGAAGTTTAAGACCACTTGAAAAATGGCAAAAAAAAAAAAATCATATTTTGCATGTTTGGGTCTTAACAAGGTTCCAAGTAGAGCTTCAACATGCAACAAGAAGAAATGGGAACATTTTTTGAACATGCAATTTATTGAAAACAACACTTGAACTGAAACAGGATGTTTTACAGCTGATCCTGTACACGCCCCCCCTCACCAAACAGGAATCACAGTTCCAAACATGAGCTCAGTAACCTTACCTCCTCACCTCCACCTTTATTGTTAATTACTTCAAAAATTAGTTGCCGTTTGCTTGATGCAACCATTTCCACGAGGTGAGTGGGAACATTTCTCCAAGTGATGAACACCGCTGCATGAAGGGAATCTACTGTTTGGAACTGTTGTCCATTTTTGTAAACGTCCTCAAAGGTTCTCAATTGGATTTGGATCAGGGGAACATGTACGATGTTCCAAAAGAGTGATGTTATCCTCCTGGAAGAAGTCCCTTGTGTACCGTAGCATTGTCCTGTTGAAAAACCCAGTCGTTACCACACAGACAAGGGACCTCAGTCATGAGGGATGCTCTCTGCAACATCTGGACACAGCCAGCAGCCGTTTGACGCCCCTGCACCTCTTGAAGCTCCGTTGTTCCACTAAAGGGAAACGCACCCCAGACCATTATGGTGCCCCCACCACTGTGGCGTGTAGAAATTTTTTTTGGGTCTACCACTTCAACCCTCAGGATCATTTAAGAAATGACTGTCATACTGAATCCCATCTCAGCAGCGATGGCGTTCTGTGAGAGACCCTGCTTATGCAGTTCAACAACCCAACCATGTTCAAAAAGGTTTTTTTGCCTTTGCCATCAGAACATCATGACAGTGTGACCATGTGACAGAAAATGACAATGAATCTACATTTTTGCACAGATTTGGCCTTTAAAAGCATGTGTTCCTAAACTTTTAATCAGCTGTAAAACATCCTGTTTCAGTTTAAGCGTTGTTTTCAATAAGTTGCATGATCAAAAAATGTTTTGTCTCACTCTCATTTCTTCTTGTTGCATGTTGAAGCTCTACTTGGAAACTTGTTAAGAACCAACCATAGAAATATGATTTTCTTCTTCTTATTTTTTTGCCATTTTTCAAGTGGTCTTAAACTTTTGATCAGGACTGTATTTAACAATCCATTAGTTTCTTCTGAAAAAATTAAGAATCCTTTATGTCCTCAAACACATTAGATCCAAAACCTGTTCTAGTTCCTACAACACTATCAGAGACTTGAAAGCCCTCTACTGTCAAGTCTGGTTAAAAAGAAACTTTGTCAACCACTGCAAGTATCAAGTTTTTTAAATTTGATTTGACTGTTTATTATGTACATTTTTGTTGTTGGTTGTATTAAGTTTAATATTAATTATGTTAGTGCCTTTTTAGTCATTAATTTGATTATTTAATATAAACTGTTTAATCATTGTTTCTATTGGTTTTTATTAATGTTTCTAGCAAATTATAACTGAATGTAAATTTTATGCCAATCGGCCACATTATGTTTATTACCTCATTTGTAGGACCTTAATTTTTTCGGGGACATTCTGGCTACAACAGTTATTGTATGTAAATATGAACTTTTAAATAACAAAATGTATTGTATTATACAGCTCTTCTGTACTTTTTCAATAGGAGACTGTAATCAAGCTTATTAAAAGTGTATATTGACAACAGATTTACATCATATTACTTTTTTATTTCAATGTAATTGTTGTACAAAAAACAACAGTTCACTGTGAATTTTACATTTATCAACAAAGTATACCATTATGTATTCTGCACTATATTTTCCACAGTAACATTCAGGTAAACAACGGCTGCCAGTAATTTACTGTAATATTGAACTTTTTAATATTTATTTTATACAGTTTCACTGTATTTAACAATGTAAGACTGTAATCAGGTTAATGGAGTGTATGTTGTTTTTACATGAATTAACCATGAAGAATTTTATAATTAATTTTTAAATTCATAGTTATTTACTGTAAAAAAAAAATATAAAAAAAAAAAAAAAAAAAACAATATATATATATATATATATATATATCATATTATATATATATAATATAAAATTTATACTTGAATTTCTGTTACCAGAATAGTATACCGTTTCGTGTTCTACATTTACAATTGATTTTTCATGTTGAAATTCTGGCAACCACAGCTGCCAGTAATTTACCATAAAGTCTACATTTTTTTTACATGAATGATCTATTACAACCAAGGTGTGCAGAAGAGCATCTCTTAACACACACATCAGCAACCTTGAAGCAGAAGACCACACTGGGTGCCACTGCTGTCAGCTAAGACCTGGAAACTGTGGCTACAATTCACACACGGTCACCAAATTCTTACTCAAAATTACTCCTTCATGTTCAAGAATCATTTTACCCCTCAGCCACGAAAGCCTGGTAAGGTATGGTCAGGGGACACCCAAGTTTATGACTGCGATAACTCAAGAAGGAAGTCAACTAGGATTTTCACATTTGTACCACACGTGCATCTAGTAGGAGGCTGAGGGCTGACAAAGGCGGCTGCCGGGATGTTGTTTTGAGCGTAGGATGAGAGGCGGCATAAAGCCTGAACACGTCACCAATCTGTCGCAAGACAGGTGTACCTAATAAAATGGCTGGTGAGTGTATGTAAAGCAGTTTTGTACTTTTGTGAAGGCAGGGTCATTCTTGCTAGTAAAATAATGTTAACATTTAATTGTACTTTGTGCATTAGCGTTCTTACACAGGACACTGAGTATTTCTACTTTAACAGACTAAATAGAGTAAAAAGACTGTTAAAGTGGAAACAAACTGACGGCTCAAAGAATTTAGTGATTGTGATGTAATCACAGGTTGCACTACATCCGTTTAATTTTGACGTTACAACTTTTGGGTTATTTCTGCAATTGCACGATGTGAACACATGATGGCGCAGTTGTGTTAGTTTTTAGATTAGCTGGGCTCTAATCCAAGGCCACAGCGCTGCTGGCACACACACACAACACCACCACACCCGACACACATCACACACACACACACACACACACACCACACACGACACACACACACACACACACACATTCCTTGGACTACTTGTGTCCCCGCACTGTTGGGAATCACTGCGCGCACTAAGTTAGTACCGGTGTTTTATCTGAGCGTTTTTCTTTAATCTGACATCTCCCGCAGTGCTCATGAACATTCCTGCATTAACTCAAAAATGTCTATTTCTGAATGCGTTTTATTAAACACCGAATTTTGCCTCAGAAATCTTAAATACTTTAACACTTCCGTATTAAAAGCCCCACCTGTGATGCCCAATTACACCTCCGTGGCCTTTTGATACCGTATTTCCTTTATAGTCCCTCGAGAGCAAATATACCAAACCTGACTTTAATGACCTGAAATTTAAAGAGTCTTTTTTTTAAAATCGATATTTCTTCCTGAAACCTCACCAATCATATCTGATATTTTGAAAATTGAAAAAGTGACTAACCAACACTGTTTGATTACATTCACAAGCATTTATTTCCTCCACAGTTTAGCTGTGGGCCTACATTAGCTGACACGCGGTGATAAATATGTTCGTTATTATTTTTGGATAATCTGTTCCTGTTACACGTCTTTGATTTCTTCCCGATCGATCCAAACACCTCTCACACCTCTCAATTTTTGATTCATTCCATTATATTATTATTATTTTCTCCTCAGCTATGAAATTCTTTATATCCCACACGGGTTCATCCGCCACTGTCTCCTTCTTCCTCTATAAGCAAGAAAACTGAAGCATAAAAGACTCTTATTCTCCATAATCAAGGTCAAGAGCGTTTTTCAATAACCTTTGGGAATAAAAGCCTGGAACGGCGCCAGTGCTCCCTGCCAGTCATTTTCACAGCCAGCCGAACACCGCTAAAGTTGTTGACCTTTTGCACCTAAACAGATCAATACGCCGCAGTTTATTCTATTAAAAAAATAGTCCACCGAATTATCTATTAATATTTGTATTTAGTTTAAATCCCCCCTCGGCGGCGTGATAAATTGTTTCAAATAACAGATGGTGCTAAAGGGAGAGACAAAGCGGGGAAATCTGGTAGCAATTATCCTCAATTATGTTCATTGTTATTTTGAGCTAATTATTGTTATTGTCACTTTTGTTTGTGTGTCTTGCGGCGCTAGGCTGCAATAAGCAGGCCCGAGGAAGACAATGGGGGGAACAGGGATATGTTGTGACGAGGAAATGTGGCTTTTATAATTGAGCCTAACCAGCTGGTGTAAATAAAACTTTGATCTAAATGTAGAGGCTGCGGGTCTGCCTCGAGAAATAGACTAATAGGATGTGGACTCGGGACTATGGTCGAACATACCTTATTTTTCTTCTTCTTTCCTTCGTGGGGGTGTGGGGTTGCTACATTATTTAATTACTATGATTTTAAACAAAAACTAAATCTGCGACTAAGGTTTGAGTCATGAAGACAGAAAGATTAAAATCGTGTTTTGGGGCGTTTGTTCTGTTCTTAGATAGACTGAACGAAACTGCCCACGCTGGTTAAATGTCTGAGATTGCCCTGTGATGTCCACTCTGCTGAAGTGCCGTTGGGCTCCCCCCCACCCCCCTCCTTTTTCAGCTCCTCTATCTGAACTTTCAGCACGGATTCGCGCAGGACTTCATCTCCACATTTACAGAAAACCTTCTAAACGTTTATTAGAAATCCTCCCCTCAAAAAACGAGGAGAAAGCGGACCGGAGGAGGACAGCGGGAGAAGGAGTTCCGTGGCCACTGCACGCGGGGCAGACCCAACTCCTCTCTATTCTTTGTTTGGGGGCGTCTCCTCGCTTCTCTTCCCGTGCTGTCCCCTCCCCTCATTCCCTTTCCATCCCAGCTCTCTCTCTCTCTCTCCCCCCGGGGCGGGAGAAGCCGTGTTTGGTTCAGAGAGGGTCCTTTGGGAAGAGTCACAAAGCGGTTTCCTCTGAGAGAGAGGGAGAGCGAGAGAGAGGGAGAGAGAGAGAGAGCGGAGTGGCGAGAGCTCGGGAGTCTTCCGCGGGAAGCAGCGCAGCTCTGGACATCACCGACGCCAGCGCGTCCCGGACCACTGAGCTGAGGCAGAGACGAGAGCGAGAGCAAAAAAAAGAGGAAGAAAGAAGTGTCAGAAAATGATGACATCTGATCCGGGTACTAGCTGATCTCTCTGTTTTTTCTCTGTGACAGCCCAAAGCGGTGGGTTTCCACGCGCACCAGGAGTGACTTTTTCCATCCTACACACATATTACGCACAGGGCGTGCGATTTTTAACCCTTTTTTTTTAAGTGCTTGGATATTCTGGATTTTATGACTTATTATGATTCGCCTACCGTTTTAGCACCAACTCCCTCCTCAGGACAAGAGAAAGTGGAATAAAGGGTGCACGCTGGATTGAGGTCTTTCTAAGCGCACGCAGCACCAGCAGCAAGAGTGCGTCTCAAGGTTCCTCCGCTCGAGTCACTGAAAGGGATCCGCCAGAGAACAAGTGCAAAGCCGGGAGGAGAGAGGCAAACGGAGGGACTTGCATCGAGCTCAGGAGGTTTGTTAATGTTTGGAATCCAGGAGAGCATCCAGAGAAGCGGCAGCAGCCTGAAAGAGGAGCCGCTGGGAGGAATGAACGTCCGGAGCTGGATGCAGGGGGGCGGCGTGCTGGACGCCAACACGGCCGCCCAAAGGTGAGCTGTGCCTAAGTGAGGAGCACTTCCACCATCACTCATTTACCGAAAGATGGAATCAGCCTGCGTGTTCTCCTCCAGGATACTGCAGCTGTACAAGAATTGAGACTTTGGGAATGGAAGTGCAGCAGTCCGAAAAAAAATCTGTCCATTCAACTGCTGATAAAATCATCTGTAGAATTAATAATCTCATTCAGAACAATTCTACCACACAAACTGTCATTAACTAAACAGTTGCAGCATGTGCTTGGTCTAGAGTTTATTTTTTCCGCATATGTTTCAGATGCGATTTATTAAGGATTAAAACAAAGAACAAATACATAAATGCAGTCCTGTGCTAGAGAAAATAAATCCTGTACTTCCCCCCATTTTCAAACTTACTCGTTGTTTTATTAGAAGGGAATAAAATTCTCCAACTGAACCACATCCAGTCACAGTAAACGTGGATATATCACGATCTCCCCTTTACGCGAACAGCAAGTTTGTGCTTCAAGTTGGTTTACAGATTCAGGAGATAATTAAGTAAAACAGGCAGCTTTCATAATCACAATCTTTAAAATAAGAGGAAAATCTGCCAAAAAAAAAAAGAGCACAAGCTGGATTTTATACTTTCAGTGCTTGTAGGCCCTTTAGGTTTGTTTTTATTATTTGTTTTTATTTATTTATTTTAGGTTAACTTTACATAATTATTACTATTTAATTTGCTTTCCTTCTTATATTAATTTTGAATTTTTCTAATTTTTACAACATAAAAACTTTACATCCTCTGACTGCTTCTAACACCCCCTCCGTCTGTGTGTCTGCAGTGGAGTGGGTCTGGCTCGGGCTCACTTTGAGAAGCAGCCGCCCTCCAACCTGCGGAAGTCCAACTTCTTCCACTTCGTCCTGGCTCTGTACGACCGGCAGGGCCAGCCGGTGGAGATCGAGAGGACGAGCTTCGTGGACTTCATCGAAAAAGAGAAGGTCGGTTCAGAAATACACGTTGGTCTTAAGAGTTTTTAGATGAAGGAAGATCACTGAGATTTTGTGAAGGCCTCGAATATTAAATTTGGTTTCTGACATTATTGAATGAATTTTTAACGTCCCATTTTAATGAACTACTTGTCCTTTAATTGTTTGCATTATTATTATTATTATTTATATTATTATTATTATTAAAAACTAAAAATACAATATTATAAACATTATAAATTTACTGTAAGGCACAAACCTCCTTAAACCCTCGTGTGTATTTGATAAATTAAAAAAAATGCCTTTCGGAGTTTAAATTGTTTTAATTTACAGCTCCATTCAACGCAACCACTTGTTCTATATAAACAACGGCGCTGCAGCCCGGGCTTCTCATCAATTATGACTTGGCTTAAATTAGATGAAATGTATCGGGAGAATTCCGTGTTGGATTTATTGGCCCTCCGAACACAACTAGTAATTACGCAGGAATTAAAAATCCACAATAACACCACGATTACACACGGAGAAATTACAGGGCTGCACTCCTCTGAGCATAAATCAGCTTTTATTTAATGCAAGACCGCTGTAAAGAATTCATTAAGTTGGATGTATGCTTCACTAGCCTACATGTGAAAACAGGAAAAAATTAATTTCTTGCTATTTTTTTAAATGGTGTTAAATTTTCCATAAACAGCTGTGTGTTTGTTGTGTGTGTGTCAAGGAGACCAGCGGAGAGAAGACCAATAACGGGATTCATTACAGGCTACAGCTTCTTTACAGTAATGGTGAGCAGACTGGCACACTCACACACACACTCACATATATATATATATATATGCATGCATAGTTAGAGTCAGCTTTGCCAGATCAGCTTCATGTTTATTTTATCAGACACTTAATGATATCACACAGCAGCAGCTGATTCTTGGGGGGGGGGGGGGGGGGGGGGGGGGGGGGGGGGGGGGGGGGGGGGGGGGTCGCTGTCCTAAAAGTAGTAAAATAAAATGTTGCAATGGGTTATCAAGGCTTCCAGAATTTATGTCAACGAAATTGCAGGGCAGAGATTCACGATTGTGTAACGTGACCGACTTCTATTAGTCAAATTTCAAGGCAGCTGTTACAGGATGTGACCCAGCTTTGTGGCTTCATTGCTGTCACTGTCCCTAAATTAGTTTGTCCAGTTTTATGTGCTCTTTATTTTTCTTTTTTTTTTTTAAATAATTTTTTGACAGTGTGAGCTGCACTCTAACCCAAGCAGGGACATAACAGCACCAGCCTCCTGTGTAATAAACAATAGCTACAATTCGTGTCTCGCATGTGTTGATATTTGGGAGTCAGAATAGGCACAAGCAATTTATCAGATAAGTCAACAAACAAGGTGTTTGAATCTATTTACCACCTTAACACGGGGCTGAACGCCCAAGGTCTCGTGTTGTGTAAACTATGCCGAGTTAAACGTGTGATTTTCGTGTGATTTGGGAGCTATATGGATACAGCCAGCTTGGCGTAAGGCTTGCATCGCAGCAGAGAGAAATGCAGAAGCTGAACAACATTTATTTTCACACTGAACTGATGAGCAGCTGCTGGCTGATCTTTAATAAGCCTCTCACCTTCTTCACAACCCCTTTCTGCCTCGTTAAAAAGGAGCCACTGTGTGTCAAGTCGCAAGTGTGAGCGTTTAAACCAAAGAATGACTGTCTGCTCTCAGACTGTTCTCCACTGACTCATATTTCAGGCCTAAATAGGAAACATTAATAAAAGCTTTAAGAAGAAAGAATTTGCGAGTCAAAATTACGTTTGCCCCGCTCCTTTGTTTATTTATTGCGAGCTTATTGCTGTAAATGACGTTAATCTCGTTTCCTTGTTCCCGCTGCTGCCACTTTGCTAACCTAATTCCACGTATTTTAAATGCCCTGCAACGTGCTGCACTGTGTGTTAAAATATGTGTAAAGTTTACAATATTTCTCCCTTCCTCTGGATCCCAACAGGCATCAGAACAGAGCAGGACTTTTATGTTCGACTCATAGACTCCATGACTAAACAGGTAAACACACACCCTAACACACTCTCAGAGCGGTCTGTCACCTCTCCTGTTACCTCTCTGACAAAGAGCTGCTCCACTGATCCTCTTGTTCTCCACCGCCCTCCTCTATTTCACACAGAAATGAATGTTTATGCGTGTATGATTCAATGGGTGGGTGTTTCCACAGTGTATGTGGGTGGGGGCACACACACACACACACACACACACACACACACACACACACACACACACACACACACACACACACACACACACACACACGGCATGGCTCCAGGCGTTTTTGCCTGTGCTCCTCTCGCTGTGATTAGAGTGAGGAGGCAGCGAGCGGGTGTTGAGGAACAGGAGCGTAATTCTGCTGCTCGCAGTAGGAAGTGGAAAGATATAAGGGCACCTCTGGGATTTGGTCTGCTGCGTATCAAGCATTCCGATCAGATCCAATTTTTCTGGTAATGCTCTTGTTTTTGTTTATGTGTACATTTATAAGAGGGAGAGCGAGAGAGAGAGAGAGAGAGAGAGAGAGGGAGACAGAGAGAGGAGCAGGTAGAGTTTGAGGAGAGAGGCGGGAAGACAGGGATGCATTTTCAGTTTGTGCGCTCCTGGTCCCGCAGGTAAAGTCAGGATGAAAACTGATTGTTTTTGTTCATGAAGAAAGTGCGAGTGAGAGTTATCTGCCTGATGGAATTCAAAATGTGTGTGTGTGTGTTGTGAAAGCCAAGGTATGAGGAGCCAAGAAGCCCACCATGCACTGAATACTTACTAATGTGACTCCAGGCTCTGACAGTCTCACATTACTGCTGCCACGTTGCACCACATACTGTGTGTGTGTGTGTGTGCACGCTGGCAGGCCTAAGAGACCACACTGTTTCCTAATAACACTCTTTAGGTTCGGCTTGGTGGGGTGACAACCAGCTACACACACACACACACACACACACACACACACACACACACACACACACACACACGCATACACACAGTTGGGACTTTCTCCTGTAGAGTTTGAAAAAATTAAATACATGCACACTTTTTCATGCTGAAAAAATTAATGGCTTTTTAGAATTTCAATATTTGAAAAGGGGGGAAAAAAAGGATGGAGGCAGGTGTGCTGCACCTGTGGTGCCTTCCTTGCACTGTGTGAGTGCTGCTCTGTGGCTGTGTGGATGGGGAAGGGGAGCAGGTGTTTAGTGCTGTATGTATACAGTAAATGTGCAAAGGTGCTTTGGAGAAGGCGTAAAGCATGCTCGCTTGAGTTTGTGTGTGTGTGTGTGTGTGTGTGTGTGTGTTATTCCCAGTAGTGGAGGAATGGAACTTTAACAGGTGGTCAAACCAAAACAGTCGCGAGGTTGGCTTAGCTGGTCAGTGATGTCATGGCCGCTGTCTCTAACCGCACACACAGGCATTTGTTCGCACCCACTGTTGTCTTGCCAGGCGGGGAAAAAAAGAAAAAAAGAAAAAAAGAAAAGAAGAAGAAGCCACACAGAAGACCAGAGGTTGCACTGGTGTCGCTCTTATTTCACTGGTTGTTAACAAGATGTGGCTTCATCCACCAAAATTGAAAACACACGACCCGAGCCCAGCATGCCCAAACACATTTTTGACAGGAACACACAAAATAAAGAGCTGCTGAGTTTGTAACCGTGATAATGAAACAGGCTTTCTGTTTTACAACTTAGGAAATAATCATCAATATTTACATTTGTCATGATGCAAATGCTCGAAAATCCAGCCTTATTCTAGTCTCGTTAATCTCTCTTGGTGCCGTAGTAGCATACCTTTCACACGTTTCACTGTTTAAAAGCCCAGAAACAGAAGACGATAAAAACAAGAAAGCAAGAGGGTCATTTCTCTAAGATTATTCAGAGTAAACCATAGAAACATAGATTTGTTTTTAGTATGAATTTCTCAGTTTTAGTAGTTGATCAGTGGTGTAAAGTATTCATTTTAGTTTTACTTAAATATTCGACTCTGTAATTCAGAGTATGTGCGACACACTATAATGAGGCAAACGACTTTTATTCTGTTTTTTTCCGCCCTTCTCACTGTGATTTAACAGCCAGTAAAGGAAAAGCCTACTCCAACATTTGGCATTTAAAAGCTGCTGCCTGTTTCTGTTCTATTTCTGTAAGTCTACCTGTTCTGTGTTTGTGCGCTGAGGGCCAGAACTGATTGTGTTAAACGGAGAAGGAGAGCACCTCCTAGTCTTCAGAAGCAGAGCGTGGAGCTCGTTGATCACGACTCTGTCCCGGAGAATAAAGCGTCTGTCACTGCGGCCCTGTCGGATCACTAGCTCGCTAGTCGACCTGACACTAACGCAGGAGGAAGTGTGTTCCCCTGCTTAACGGATCCTTGTTTACATGCCGCACATATCACGCCACTTCAAAGGTGGGGAACAGAGAAGCAAAGATGCTGTGTGAAAGGCCTGCTGAGGTGGAGAGAGGAAGGAGACAGAGGAGGGAAAAGCAGATGAAAGAGAGGAGCAGAGCAGGCAAAGTGACAGCAATGACGAATCTGAGGCAAACGTGGGCTGTGGCGGTAGAGGAAGGTACACACTAACACAAGAGGCTGTCACAGAGGGTGGATGAAGTATCTTTGCATTGTCACTTTTTCCTCTTTGGAGCTCCAGAGGTCTCCAGCTGCCATGAGGGCAGACCAATTAGAAACTTTAGACCTTAGTTTCATGCAGTTCTGCTGTAAATACTAATGTTTTGTTTTATCTTCCGTAACGCAAGACCTCTCTCGAAAACCAAACTGGTTTAAAAAAGAAAGATTGTTGGCACAGGGCGAGCAGCAATCAGTCAGGTGGGAAAGAACTGGATGTCTTTTACAGTTACAAACTTTTACTTTTGCTGCATGACCCAGACTGTAGCTCATCTATGCTGTTGACCCGATCGCCTTAAATAAAGGAGGTGGGCTGTTATGTGGTGGTACGTGTCACGGGCGACACGGCTGTTCTGTTTAGAAAGATCAATGCATTCACCCAGCCAAAGGTTTAATGGTTTACTTGTGTGTTTGTGTGTGGGCGTAAGACAAGAAAATAGCAAAGTGCAAAAAAAAAAAAGGGAAGAGATGATGGTGATGCGCGCTCGGCGAGGTTAGGGAGCAAGCTCATTGCTTTCTCCTGGCCCACTCTTTTCCCATGGCGCGAGGAGCAGGACTAATCACAGACACAACTGTGGTTTATAAAACACGTTTCCTCTTCAGATTTGCTCTGTCAGAATTCTGTCCTTCTCTGCGTTTCCCCACACTTAGATTTGGCTTTCATTAAAGGGCAATCAGGGGGATTTTACGGTTCAAATGTTGATGAGTGAGCGTTTCCAGAAAGAGTTTCAGATGTTGGGTGTCGGATCAACCTCACTAGTGTGTTAATGGGAGCGGTTTTTTTTCTTCTTTGTCTGAGGTCATTTAAAATATTTACAATCTGAACAAACGCTTATTTTCTTTCCTGCGTATTTGAACTTGCGTCAGACGCTTTGACAGCTTTTGGTCAGATTGGCTTTTCTTGGAGAATGTCAGCTTAGCCTGGTGCAGATTCCTCCATGAGCTCATTTTTGTTTCATATTTTCACCCCGTGCTTGAATCGACTGTGGGTGCACATCCCTGGAATCCTGGACCACCAGGAGCTTTTCGGTCTCCAGGTTCACATATCGATAGATTTCCTGCAGGCGTGGGGAGGAGGGGTTCAAATGGAATATGCACATGCATGGAAAATTGTAACTGACAAGGGCCTCGGGCCCTGAAACACATGGGGGCTCCAATTCCAGAAAACACAGCTAGCTATTAGTATGAAATGCTTTAGGCTACAATACTGGGGCCCTCAGACAGTACAGCCTCTGTCACTGCTTTCCATTAAGTTTCACATAGTTGGTACAAATGAGAGGTTCAGCCTACACCCTTTGCTCATCTTGAGGCCCCAATAAGAAGCCACTGGGAGGTTCAGAGCCTCTCCACTGTGCCCCTGAATCCTGTTTTATGCAACCAGCAAAGTGTGCCCCTGTTAATTTCACTTCATGGAGAATGAAAAGGAATCACAGGTGAAATAAAAGCACTGATTGTTCTTCTTAGAGGGTTTGCATTTGAGTTTTGGGCCATGTGTAGTATATCTGACAGTCCATAAGCTTTAAAGCTACTTAGACATAACATAGGTATGCATTAACATGTGAATATACATGTCTCATTTTCCAAGTATGGCGGTGTCAGTGTGGCCTTGTTAAGTGGTCTTAAAATCAGCTTTATTCATTCATCATTGTTCACTTGATGGCAGCAGGCAGTCTAAACATGAGCCAGAGATGATTTGAAAGGGCAGAGAAACTTCCTGGCTGCTCATGAGGAAAGCGATCTTGTCACTCAGTCAGGCTCGCCGCAGTTTTCGGTACGACACATCAAACCAGCTTTTGCAGACCAAAGACTGACAGGGCGTGCGTATTGATTGATAGGTAGCTTAGTGGTGTGTGACTTATGCCGGTTTATTCTGCTTCCATAGCAGCGCGGGAGTGTTGTGTAACAGAAGCAGGTGAAGCCTCGGCAGCAGAGGCAGAAAATGTGAGGACCATTCTCCGGAGCCGATGAGATGATGGTTGTTATTTTGAGGATTTTCTAAAACAATGAGTGTGAATCAGCTCAGTGTGTGCATATGTGTGCATGTGTGTGTGTGTGTGTAAGGAGGGGTGTGAGACACAATGGGTGTGAGTGTATGTGAAGTAGAGGTGCTACTGATGAAGGATGCGTTCATGGAGGTGAAGTGGGACCTAACCTATTATCGCAATAACACTTTGGCGCTATTCTAAGTGTACGGTGCAGTTACGTTACAGAAAAACTACAAGTCAAGGTGCAGCTTCATGCTCGTTATGATATAAATCTACTATTAAGATAGTAATTTCCTCAAAGCTTTTTTTTTGAAAATGAAGGTTTAAAGTTCCCACAAAAACAATTCACTGATCCCATTAACAAATCTCATCTGTCCAACTTCTGATGATTGCTCTGTTGTTGTATTACATATCAGTTAAATGGATCTCTGTGAGCCACTCACACACCGTAAATAAAAACAGTAAGAGGCTTTGGTGTGCTGTGAAATGAGCACGCTGGAGCCTGTGAGTTTAACTCTCCGCTTTCTTCTTCTCCTCTTTCTTTTCAGCCGATTGTTTACGAAGGCCAGGACAAGAACCCAGAGATGTGCAGAGTGCTACTGACACATGAGATCATGTGCAGGTGAGAACAGATGCATCACATCTCTCCTCTCTCCTCCAGCATTCTTTGCCTGTGAAGTTCTCACCAATCACCGCTATGTACATTTCTTATTTTGTCACCCTCATTAACCCCCCTCGACACGCACATACGCACACACACCTGAAGCCCTATCTGTTGAGGAAGATGAGTTTTGGCTATCATAGTTGTTGCTTTAATTATAAGCTTAAGATGAATTTCTTTGGAAGTAGGTTGGGAGGAAAGTTCTATTTATAGGGGCGTTTTGCCGACCTATCCTATACAATAGGAAACGTGCGCGCGGGAACATGTGTAGTTTGTGTGCGCATGTGTCTCTGACGCCTGGTTAATTAGGACACAGAGAAACTCATTAGTCAATCTGAACCCTTCTGTTGTTTCATGGCTAACAAATGGGCCTTGCTCTTCAATCTGACTATAAAAAATAGGCAGGAACTCGCGCACACACACACACTCGCACACACACATAGATCCGTAGACACAAAGAAGTATGCTTGTGTATTCAGAGCCCTGCACAGCGCAGTTATAAAAATTCAGATTTAGCACATGAATTACGTTGTTCTTTTTCCTTGACCTTGTCACTGAAAAACTTTAACTGTACCAATATAAATTGGGGTTCATCTACATGCGCACACAGGGACTTTAGTTGTGAAATCAGGCCCACTAATACTTCATCGTATAGCTTGGTGAATATTCCTCAGGCAGTTCAGCTGGAGAGGCTCATGATAGACCAATTGAAATTCTGATTTACAGTGAATATATAAATAAACAATTTGGCAATAGATTTTATTGTAAATTATTGCCGTTCATCAAGTGGAGGATAATTGCGGACCTGAATCAAATGTGCTTGCGTAACCTGTACGGTATGACTCTCGTATGGTAGAAGGTGCTCGTTCTGTCCTGCAGGATTTTGTTTTAAATACTTCCTTTGGGGGAGCAACAGTGCAGAAAGTATGGCTTTTGCAGCAAGTGTAAACAGTCGCTTGTCTTCAACAGCCGCTGAGGTCAAAGTTACGGCTGTTGCCTCATGTTCTCACATGCTGATTCTGCAGCGGGGGCTTTGCACACAACACAACACGCACACACACACACACACACAAAGAGCTCAGGGCGTCCATTAATCAGTGTGGCTTATTGTCACGGCAGTGCTATTAGCCATATGCTCCCAGCCAATCTGCCACCACAAAGACCTGCGTTGCAAAATTGGCTGAAGCGCTGGCACGAATACGTGAGTGATTTCACTCTAAAATTGGACAATAGATGCTTCAATGAACGCGCTTAATACAAATGTTGGTCGTGCTCAGTGTATTTTAACATTTGCCCTCTTTCAAATCAAGAAGCTTTATGGCATTGTAGATATTTTATTTCACTCTGTCTGACAGAGCAGCCTCGGTATAGCTGGTTGAAACTGCTTTTATTTTTAAGGGGAGTTTAATTTATTGTGGACATTTTAGCATAATAGTTTTCATTTCTTTGGAAACTCCAGGACATGAAATATACTTTTAGACAAATTTCTGTGAATTTGGAAAATCCTTGGCTGCTCAGCTTCTGTGTAAGCAGACGTTTATCTGTTATTATTTGTATCTTTTTTTTTAAACAGACATTTGAATGAAACATATCTCTCCAGGAATAGAATTATGGATGATGAACCTGTCACTTATGTTTTTAAGTTATTATGTTTGCTAAACTAATCAAAATCTAAGGCTAATCTCTTGACTTTATTTATATCATGTGATCACTGACATGTTAACATAGCTGCTAATCATTCTGACTATTAAAATTAAAGTTAAACACCCATTATCTAATTAGCTTTGATTGGCCAACAGTCAATATCCAAAGATTTTTCATTTACAGAGACAAAAAAACAAAGTTTGTAAGTTGTGAATTTATTTTGGCATTTTCCCTCCCAACACATGTAAATTGCAAGTAAGAGACATTGCATCGATTTGGACTCATTGTTTCAGTGATTAAAGCACAAAGATCAGGTGAAAATCATGTCTTATGTGTGTTTGGTGGGAGATGCATGTTAGAGCAGATGATTAGCTCACTAGCATTTACAGATATAGGTCCTGCATTACTCCCATCCCACCCCTTCCTTCTCCTTTCATAGCATAAAACACTCTTCTCCTTCCTCCACTTCCTCTTCTGTCCCTTAAGTTTCCTTCACATCTATTCCATCCCCTCTGTTTCCCACGCCATCACCCACCCTTCCCTCTACCTCTCCCTCATCTGGTTTAGCTTTCCTTTTTCACCCCCCACCCCGGTCCCTGATCTCCTGCTTGATTCCTCTCTCTAACCTCTCTCTGTTGCTGCGCTCTGCTCTCCAAAGTTACAGTGTAATGACCCAGTTCATAGAGCGGCAGAGAGCAAACGACAGCGAGAGCAGAAAGAGCGGCAGATAGCGGAGACAATGAGAAAGGTGTAACGTATCAGTCGCTTTCTTTCTACCTCTGCCATCTGTGACAGCGGGAAACCCGAGATGTCTCCCCTTCCTCTTCTTCCCACCCAGACCCCTCCTCTCCCCTCCCTCCCCTTCTCACCCTCTTCGTTTAGCTCTCCATCCCACGCACACCCTCTCACTCTTTACCCCCTCCCCCCTCCCCACCCATAGCCATCTTTATCCTCCGCCCTCCTGCTTACACCTTTATTCATAATTGATGCATGGAAGAAAGCCTTTTTTGACACACTTGTAGTACACGTGTGAATTTCGGTAACCATGTCAGGTGTTTTGTTTTTTTTCTCACATATGTGCGTGCATGCGTGTGCGTGTGTGTATACCACCCACGTGTTTTTGGAGCCTCGGGCTTCTTTTTTGTTTCCATCTCCACTTTACCTGATGGTTCATCAGTACAATTAGGATGGACTTTTCGCGCTCGATTTCCAGACGATTATGCTGTTGGTTATGTTGCCTTTGGAAAAAACTTGACTATAAGCATCTAAATGATCTCAGCTTGTTAATTACGTACTCATGAAAACATTTTCTTGCAACACATGTGGAGGGGATTTTAACTAATTAACCTTTCATAACCCCAACAGTATCATATTGACACTAGGAGAGGTTATTATTCTGAGACTTTACAAAACCCCAGAGTTACAATCATATTATGCAGTCACCTTCATGGGCTATGAAAATAGGTGTAATGCCCCATTACAGTCTAGTTTCATAGGAAAAAGTGTTGTGGCTCTCCACAGCACAAAGCATGGTGTTTTACAATAAACGCTGTAAAATTGTGACCTAGCATGTAATGTTAGTATATGCGTGTGTAATGTAGGGGCAGGACTCCTGGCAATCTTGCAAAATGGAAAATGGAGCTTTGCAACATCTGGTTAAGGTTGTTAAAAGATCAGTTTTAAGCCAAAACACGATCTTGGTGCCTGGAGCTCTGGAACTTATCTTTATATTATTTTGCTCTTCAGCTAAATTACTACCTGCGTAGTTCTTATAATGTGCTGTGCAAAATTAAATCATCTATTTGAGCCCAATCCTAAAAACCTGAATGTTTGAGAGGTTGTTGGGATTCGGATGAAACTACTATCTTAATAGTTGATTGTTTGAGCCAGATGGGCAAACTGTGGTTAAGGGTGCACCTTATACTGGGAACACTGGTAATGAATATCAACCAGCTCAGCAGTAAAAAGTGGAGAAAATGGAAAAAAGAAATGCTAGGCAGTGACCACAGCAACAAATTACCCACTAGTGAGACAAACCACGACCAACAATAAATCCGGCAGTGTCTTTTTTAATGTATTTGTTAAAGCAGCGATCCCACAGCGTATTTCCTTCAGATCCTGCTATACAGTCACTTTCCTTGTCTTGCAGGTCTATTTTTATCCTTGCTTTCAGGGCAGATTTCTCTGAAAGACTTTCAGTAAAATTCACTATGGCCTGTTTTCGACAGATTGGGACAAATTCTGCAGATGTTGTAATAAATTTGTTTTATCAGTGCAGACGAAAGGCACGCACTGCAACACTCCCACTTAAACCTCTAATCTGGAAATTCCATAAAATGTACCCTATGCCCAAATTTTCCCCCCACTTTGCCCTGTGTCTTCTTCCCTGACGGTCTTCTTTTCTCTTCCCGTAGTCGGTGCTGTGACAAGAAGAGCTGTGGAAACCGTAATGAGACACCCTCAGACCCTGTTATCATCGACAGGTACTGTCTCTCACTTTGCCTCTTCTCTCTCTCTCCTTGCGCGCACACTTGCGCACACCCACAGACACACAGTGGACGAGGGTTTGTGCGCTGACCCGTTTGAACGGCGCGGTGGGACAGGATGTTTGTGTGTTTGGATGAGCTGCTGTCACTCCTCGATAGAATCAGCAGCCTCAGATGCACGGGAAGCATTTGAGAAACCAATTTTGCTTTTATAAGTCAAACAGCAGGACTCATGAGTGGGTGGTGACAGTGTGGAATTACACTTGCAGACACACACACGCAGGTTTTATCTGCATGTACATGCGCACTCTAGTAACGTAATCATCGATCTTTGCAGAGGGGACACAAATACACATCAGCTGCTCTGTTACATCCCAAAGGCGCACTTTCAGACTTGAGTGCTCAGATGAATGTGTGTTTCCTCTACGTCACGCGAAACACAAAGCAGCTCACTAGCAGGAGTCGTCTGTTGTTTTCCTGCCGCTCGTCTCTGTCTGTCTGTCGCTCTCTTTCTTCCCTTCTGTCTGTCACAGGAGAGGACTGAAGTTATCCCTCCCTTAACATCCACCCCACCCCTCTTTCTGTCTCTCCTGCAGCAGCACAGAAAAGTGGGTCATGAGCGAAGAAGAACAAAAAAAAAGTGACAGAGAAAAACTGAAATAAGATCCAACCTCATTTTAATCTGATTTCTCCTTGGCAGTTGTTTTAACCCTCTGCGAGCAGTTCTGTCGGTCTGTCTGCATGTGTTTGAGTAATTCACAGGAAGAGGAGTGAAATATTCTACTCCCTGTCACCACATTGTTACACAACTTAAATCACTGTACAAAATATCATATTCCTGCAGATTTGTACCAAGTGTTTCTTTCTTTTCTTATTTCACCATGACCAGATGTTTAAGTTTCAGTTTGTGAAAGATTTTTGGCAATTATAATATAAGCTGATCATCTGCAACATTAAAAGCACTGACAGATGAGGTAAATACCTCAGATCTTCTTGTTGCAGTGCAGTGGGTGCTGGCATTCATGTGGATATTACTTTCACAGCATCTAGACACTGTTGCAGTCCAAGCACACTCCCTGAGGCACTAGTACTCTTGCAAAGACTTCTCTGGAATGGCTCAAGAAACACGACAAAGAGTTCGGGGTTTTGACCCTGCCTCGGGATATCCAGATCTCCAGATTCCAGTCCAATCATACTGCATGTAAGATGTGCTAGACCAAGTGAGATATACGGAGGAAACACTCCACAACTTACAGGACCCAGACGACCCACTGACAGTGTTCCCATGCACTACCCTAAGCATACCCCCATTGTGTGGCGTGAGGAACCACACAATTGAAACTGAGGTTTAAATATTGTGGCTTATGAGCGTCTGATGAACAGTAATCACACCATAGACTCTCAGCTTTGTATCCACAGACTGTCCTTCAGTGCTTCTTCACTAAAGGTTCATAAAGACAAACATCAGTGTGATCAGCGCCGCAAACAGAGGTCAGAAAGGTTATTACAGGGATAATTTGGCATGAATGAGATTCTTTATTCTCGCCACTTTGGAGGGGATGTACAAGGTTTCGCTCTATACGGTGCAAAACTCCTCTTTCCTCTTTTTCTTTGTGTTTGGAGAAATCTTATTAAGTGCACAAACGTGTGCGTGTGTCATACGCTATACGTGCATTTGTGTGTTCGTGAAGGATATTATAGGTATTGCCGCACCACCGCCCAATTCTCCTGTTTTGTCGGCTATCTCAAACGTCTCAGCTTACAGCCTTTTATATATTTGCCTAGAAAGTGTGTATGTAATCTGCGTGTGTGGATTCATGGCCAAGGTTTGGGTTTGGCCCCTAAAAGAATAGCTGATATATTAGACACAAACTGACAAAGTAATAGCTGCATAATCATAATACGTGTGTCACTGTTTGTTACATTGATGCTTGATGACTATTGAAGTGTGTGTGTGTGTGTGCGCACACACAGGGGTGTGCGTCTCATTTTCCACGGCAGGAGGAGAAAAGCGGAGTGAATTGTGGGAGATGTCAGGGAACTTGGTCAAGATGGAATGTCAAGGTTACCGTGGATACCGTGGGATACTTCCTGTTGCCCCCTCCACTTTGCAGTGGTTCACAGCCTCTTGGTGTAACATCTGGAGCTCTGCTGTTTGACGCAAACATGTGGAGAGAGAATGAGGCAAAGTCAAAATGACAGCTTAAAGTGTCATTGATTGTAAACAGAAGTAGAGCTCGAATTAACTCACCCACTCCAAAGAAATATTCAAAATGTAACTTTAATAGTTATTTTAAACAGTTACAATGAAAACATTAAGGGCTTAGCAGATATATCCCCCTGCATCTGTGGTTATACATACTCAAGTGTATGCTGCATTTAGCTATAATAGTTACAAAGGTACAATCCGGATTGGTTGACAATTTGGCTTGAACTGAAAGGTAATGCCAATGTTTCGGGATGAAGAAGAAATGAAACAAGAAATGGCGTCTTCGCTACAAAGATGTCTGTGATAAATTCCTTCTTTTTAACGGCTCAACTAAAAGACCAAAAACAGCACAAACATAAACAAGAGTATCCCACATTCTTGTCTGTGATCTGTTTTTTTTTACACTGCCCTCTGGTGATAGTATGAAGCTACAACATGCAGATGTGCACGTGCCAAGCTCCGCATTGGATTTATAGTTATGTGAAAATGTGGGATGATGGACGCTAATGCACTTAACTGACCGTCAGCAGATGTGAGCGCCTCTATAGAAGAAGACGTTTTGGCAGTTTGGTGGTCTGGGGCGTTTATTCACAGCTTGGGTTTGCAAAGTTGCATCTGAACAAACCACAAAACCTCTGTAACAATGTCCTTTGGACATATGAGACCAAATTGGAGATGTTTGGTCGTAATGCACAGCACCAAGACTCAAATGTGAGGCCAAGCCTGACAGCTAAAGCTTTGCTGAAAATGGATCATGCAAGAGGACAATGATCTCAAACAGAGCAGAAAATCTACAGTAGAATGGCTGAAAAAGAAAAGAATGAAGGTGTTGCAATGGTCAAGTTAAAGTCCAAACCTCAACCTGACTGAAATACTGTGGTGGGACCTTAAGCGAGCTGTGCAAAAACCTCAGTGAACTGAAGCAATGCTCTAAGGAAGAGTGGGCTGATTTTCCTCCACAATTAAGTCCTTCACAATGCAAAAGGCTGACAAAGTCATACAGACATACGACAATTTAGTTTTTCAAAGGAATACATAGAGTCCTGTAGAAACGTTCTTTTCCACGTGAATGTATGGACCACCAGTCCACTACTTTGCCGGGCACTTTAAGTAAGTGTGCTATTAAAACAGCTTGAAAACTTGCTCACTAGCGTTAGAAGCCTGTGATGAGCTAATCAGCATCATCAGAGTCAGTGCGACGTGTGTCTTGGCCCCTTTGCTTGACATCATGGGAAAACCAAAGGAAACTGCCCCGACACTGGAAAAAAATTGTGACGTTCCAGAAGCCTTGTTCATCCTTGTGAGCAATTTCCTGAAAGATACCATGTTCATCTGTACAAACAATAGTATGTAAGTATAAATACCATGGGATCGGGCAACAGTCGTAATACTTAGGAAGGAGATGCATTCTGTTTCCGTGAAACTAATGTGTGAACAGTGCAAACGAATCCCAGAACAACAGCAAAGGTTTTTGTGGAGATGCTGGAGGAAAGAAGAGTATCTGCACTCACATTAAAACGAGCCCCATATCAGCATAAAATTGGAAAGAAAGCTCTCAGAAAGAAAGAAACCACTGCCCTAAGACCTGGATACTGTTGCATGGTATAAATGCTGCCCAACGCTTCTGCAGGGATGGTTTCAGCCAAGTGAAACTGATATTACATTATAGCATATACAGTGCACAGTAGAGAGAAAAGGCTCCAAAATGTTGCTACAGCCAAGTCTGCAGTGGGTTACTGGCAGATGAAGAGATATGCATAAGCACACTTATCTACATGCCATTTAAATGTTACATCGACATGTGAACAGAGTTAAGGCTCACGCTTATTTAAACACATTACTCATGCTTTAACAAATTCAAACATTTGTCTGTGCGAACCATTAAAGAGAGTGACTGACAGCTCATTGCGTGTCTCTCAGTCCTTGTGCGCACATGTGTGTGACTGACAGCTAGCCCATCGTACCATGTACGTATGAGTGTATCTGTGAGTGTGTGTGGCCCAGTTAATCCTTGTTATAGCACACTGAGCATCCCACTGCCTCTCAGGGTTAATATAGGGTTAACGACATGCAACGCTATCCTATCATACGCCTGCTTGACTCCTAAAGAGCCACAACCACTCTTCTCCTCTGGGTGTGTGTGTCTATGTGTGTGTGACTGCCATTCAGTTTCTACTTGTAACTCTTACTGTCTTTTTTTTTAATCACTCAGCATCCTCATCATCCCCTTTTCTCTTACTTTCCTCCATCACTTCCACTTCCCCCTTTCTCGCTTCCTCCTTTTCCTCCCTTTTTTCCGTGCCTCTGCTTCACCTCACCCTCTCTCTGCACACCCCTCTGCTTTGCTCCCTCTCCCAACCTCCTTTTTTCTTTCTTTGACTCTGTTTTCGTCTCCGTGGCCCTGAGGGGTTACCTACCTCACTGCTCAGCTTTGTGCCTGTTTAGACTGCTACAATTGGCTTAATAGGCTCAGACTGTGCGTGTGTGAGCAGTTTGAGGGGGTTATAGTCTCAGGTGGTGTGTGTTCAGGGCTTAGACGAGTGTCGCGGCGCGAGGAAGGCAGTTTGAGCGTGTGTTTTTCTGTGTGTAGGGGTGCTACGGATACCAGTGTGTGTGAATGTATGTGTGTGTGTCCTCTCAAAGTCTAAAGGGGCCCACATAAGCCTCGGGGTTTAAGGGGTTCCCTGTGTGTGTGTGTGTGTGTGTGTGTGTGTGTGTGTGTGTGTGTGTTGTGTGTGGTGGTGTGTGTGAATTATAGGGTTAAGAGGGGTCAGAGCTTGAACAAGAG